TTGTAGAGATGAGGTCTTGCCAAGTTGCCCAGACGGGTCTCAAACCCGCGGGCTCAGGCAGTCCACCCACCTCAGCCTCCCAAAGGCGCAGGATTACAGGCTGAGCCACTGAGCCCGGCTTCTGTATATCTCAAAATTAGATATTTAAAGACACTTCAGAGTTCAGACAGAAGTGAAGATACCACCATGAAGTAGTTTCCACATCAGCAATGACATCCATGAAGAGTATGTTCTCCTTTCTTCTGATATCTGTTTGTTGTGCAGGTATTGAAAGATGAGGTGCACTTTTATGTCTTGAGACCTTAGTAGGATCCATAATCATAATTGTATAATCCATTAGATGTATAATGCATGTAAATGGCATAATTTCTATTTTTTTTTGAGTTGGAGTCTCTTTCTGTCACACAGGCTAGAGTGCAGCGGCACGCTCACGGCCACCGCAGCCTCGACCTGCTGGGCTCAGGCGATCCTTTTGCCTTAGCCTTCCAAGTAGCTGGAACTACATACACACGCCACCACGGCTGGCTAATTTTTTGGTTTATTGTAGAGATGAGTTCTTGCCCAGGCTGGTCTCAAACCCGTAGGCTCAGGCAGTCCTCTCACCTTGGCCTCCCAAAGTGCTGGGATTATAGGCATGAGCTACTGTGCCAGGCCATATAATTTCTGTTATATGCATATAGGAGAGCCTGAAGAATTTTGCTTCTTTCCAGGTACTCAGAGTCAACCTTGTTCTTGGGAGAGAGGTCTGGACTGGGGAATGTCCTGGTTCATATCCTATGCTGTTAAACAGGTTTGAAGCTGCATATCTGTTCCCATGTCATTTTCTCTATACTAACTCAAGTTGGCAAATCCTTCAGCTGGATTTTGGGGAACCAGGAAACCCTATTCCCAAATCCAAATTGGGGCCCTGTTTGGGTGTCCATAGGGCACATTTAATTCTCTCCAGGAAAACAGGCTACTTCTAACCACCACAGTGTACACCATATCTCACCTGGGGAGGCAGAGTCAGGAGAGGGAAGCTGGCGCTCAACTCTCATGGACTAAAGGAAGGATTCCAGGGCACACCTTATTGAATCATCTGCTTTCATCAACCCTAAACATGTATTCAGTAGTGAATTTTGCTGTCCTGCTGGCAAGCTATGAATGGAAAATGTATGCAAGGTCTTTTTTGCTTTTCTATTTGAGGCTTTCACAGTAGACATCCACACTCCTTCTATTTTTTGTCATTTTTACCTCTCTTTCTTTCTTTTTTTTTTTTGAGTCAGAATCATTCTGTTGCCCAGGCTGGAGTGCAGTGGCAAGATCATGGCTCACCACAGCCTCAACCCCCTGAGCGCAGGTGATCTTTCTGCCTCAGCCTCCCAAGTAACTGGGACCACAGGCATGCACCACCATGTCCAGCTCATAGTTTTATTTTTTGCAGAAATGAGGTCTCACTGTTTTGCCCAGACTGGTCTCAAACTCCTGGGCTTAGGCAGTCCTCCTGCCTTGTCCTCCAAAAATGCTGAGATTACAGATGTGAGTCACTACGCCTGGCCCTTTTTTCCCCTCCCTTTCAAAACCTGCTTTCATAACCAGACTAGAAACCAGTTCATGCCGAGGTTTTCATAGTTGCTACAGCTGTAAGTGTCCCCTGCATTTTTACCTGGACCATAGTCCTAAGCCAAAGAGAAGCAGTTCTGGCTTGGCATCTCAAATATCATCGACCAGGTGTGGGGACTGGGGGTAGAGGTTTCCAGCACCCATGAAGCAACACCCAATGTCATTCACCTTCTCTGAGCCCCTGTAAGTTCTTGGCACACCTGCTTCCTGGAGCCCCGATTTGCTGCCCTTTCGGTTGTGAGTCGAGGTTGCCAAGGACCTTGGTAGTGTCTGCTAGACTGCAGGATTTCTAATTCCACAGCTGTGTAGTTTTTCTTTACTCTCTGGGGCTGGAGAAGTAAGAAGCCTTTGAGTAGAGTTGGTGTTGTTGGCTGATAGCTGAGGTGGAAGTCATTGGGGTAGGAGGCCATTCCACTCCTGTGGGCCTTGTGGGAGTTGCCTGAAGTTGCCTCTTCCCTTGAGAGGAGCTGGTTGGTGACACTGGGGATCCCAGGACAGTCTCTGTGTCAGGTGTGATTTCTCTGGGAACAGATACATCCCAAGCCTCTAATTCATTAGTGTCTATGTGTGTGACGGTAGATCCTTCCATTTTCTCCCCCCCGCCATCCTGAAGTAGGAGCATCAAACTCAAAATTCCAATGAAGAAGGAATTACTCAGGGGTAGGAGTTTGGTGTGAAGAGAGCAAGATATGAAAGTCAAAAGCAGTTAGGTTTAAACTTGGGCTCAGTCACTTACAGTGCGAGCTTTAACAAGTTACTTGACCTCTCTGGTCCTTAGCTCTCTCATCTTGAAAATCAAGGCCACTGTCATTAGGTTGGTATGTCACTCAAGTGAAATGGCATGTGTGAAATGCCCAGTCATGTGCCTGGTTCTGATTAGCTAGTGTTAACCCTTTTCTCCCCACAACTTTCCATTCCCTGATACAGTTGACCCAGATGGTATCACCTGTTACCATGGTTTGGTCTGAATAGTGGCCTCTATTCATGGGCTCTGGAACTAAGTGGCCAAAAATCTGGAATCACTGTCGTAGGGAAAGTAGCCCAGCATTACCCTGCCCCACTGCAAGTATGTTCACATAAAGACGTCCAAAGCTCTTGGCCTCTTATCAGCATTCAGGGGGTTGATTGTGCAAGCTCACATTCCTTCAGAGAATGGCCTGGGAACCTCCTCCAGCTTGTGAACTCTCTGAGAAGGGAACACATGTTCCTGGCATTCACCCTACCCTGGTACTTGCCCTTATCTGTCTCATTCCAGGAGTTCCTTCTCTTCAGAGACTCTGTGTGCCCACATGAGCCTGATCTTTAGAAAATGGCCCACAGGTCAAAGACCCTGAGTTGCTTTATGACCTTGGAGCTTTGGGGGAGGTGTCAGAAGAAGAATTTCCATCCATGTCCTCCCCTCACCACCCTCCCGCCCACAAATGTATACGGAGAGCTTACTCAGGGCGGCGGTATGCTGGATATGGGGATACGGAACAAAAGGCACAATCCAGCCCTTGAGGAGCAAGACAGCCAATGAGCAGCTGGTTGAACATGGCTTCAGCCAGTGCCATGATGGAAGGGACATCAGAAGAGGGATGTGGGGGCACAGAGCAGGGAGAGGGCAGGTGTGGGATTAAGATAGGGAACAGTGGTTAACTTCATACCCTGTGGTGTCAGGCTCATAGATTTCTACCCTGGGAATTTTAGGACTGAATTGTGATGTAAAGGCAGAATGGGCAACTTGTTAAGAAAGGAAGAAGGGGCTGGCATCAGAACAGAAAGTGCCAGGGGGAATCATTGTGGTTGTGCTGTGTCTGCTTCTGGTGGCTACTTACAGTACTGCCAGAAGTGTGAAGAGCAGCTTTGAGAATCAGGTAAAACTGGGTCCTTCCTGTTTCATCCTGTTTGTATTTTTATCCCCATTTTGCAGGTAAGGAGACCAAAGCAGAAAGATCAGTGACTTTCCTGGAGTCTCACAGTTAACAAGAGTCAGAACAGGAGTTTCAGCTCCCAAACTTTTGGTATTTTTCTGCTTGTTTTTAGTCAGGGTTTTACTCTGTCGTCCACACAACCTTGAACTCTTGGACCTTAGCCTCCTGAGTAACTAGGACTACAGTCACACACCACCATGCCCAAATAATTTTTAATTTTTTATAGATATGAGGTATCACTATGTTGCCCTGGCTGGTTTAAATTTTATTATTTTATATATTTTTTGTAGAGATGGGGCTCTTACTATGTTTCCCAGGCTGGTCTTGAACTCCTGGCTTCAAGCGATCTTCCTGTCTCTGCCTCCCAAAGCAATGGGATTACTGGCTCGAGCCACTACATCCAGCACCAACCTGTGTTTTTAAGGGGTACATCTTCCTACCTGGGTGCAGGAGATGGGGAAATCCATATTGGAAAGGAAAGATCAGATACAGAGTCACTCTGTCTTAAAAAAAAGTGGTTGTGACCCATGAATTATTTTCATGGCCCACTAATTGATTACAACCGGATGATAGAACATGAGCACTAAAATGAGGGTTGGGGCATGGTTGAGGTATTTTCTTTCCTTCCAAAATGACTTAATTTTATCCATTTGAAGTAAAACTTGAATTTACCAGAATAGGGCAGAAATTTATGGTGCAAAATAGAGTGATTAATTTATCCTGTGATTGATTAGTTCAAGAGTCATCTGTTGAGCATCTCCACTGGATTAAGCCCAGGGATACAAGAATGAATAAAAATATAATGCCTCTCTTGAGGTGCATACAATCTAAGGTGGAAAGAAAGCCATAAAGAGTCATTTTCAATATAGTGTGGTAAGTGCTAAGTAAGGAGACGTGTGTGTAATGGCAGTGCAGGGCAGGGACGCCAGACCCAGACCATGAGCATTTACTAAAGCTGACAGCACCCCCGAGAGGGATTGTTGAGGAGGAGGTGTTAGAAGACTGGATGGAGTCGGGGAAAGGGGAGGTGAAGGACAGAGCATCCAGGAATGGCAGTGTTTGCAGATAGGACATTTCGTACTGTGCTCAGGACATTATAGCTGGTTCAATACTGCCAGTGTCAGATGGGAGGTGGGACATGGTGGGAGATGAACTGGGAGAGGAAACTAGACCCTGGGAAATCTCGTAGGCCTTGTTGAGGTCTTTGGACTTTTATGTGGTAGGGGGCTATTGAAAGTTGAAAAGT